AGCTATATATTTAGTAAAGGATTGGATCTAAATATAATGATGTTTTCACCAGGTCTATAGAAATCAGTGGGACATAAATGGATCATGAGCACTGAGGATCAGGCGCTCAGCAACTAAGCCAAGTATAAAATGAGGAAATAAAACATCTCCAAGGATCAGACATGTCATTTGAGAGACCCAAGAATGACCTTGCTTTAAAAGTTGTGAGTGGTACCAGGACCAAAATGAGTCATTGTATGAGGTAGGTGGCCGTATATCCTATAAATAAATACATCTGGATTTCATTTTGTTTATATTAATATTAAATGAAAATTATCTAGACAGAGAGTGGCAACAATTGGACAACCTTGGTTGATCATAAAAAGCTAAGCAAGATAATACTTGGCTAGTTGTGGAATGGGAGCTATCAGGAAATTGTGTATGAATCTGAAAAGTCAAAGAAACATCTGGAAGAAGATACCGATGAACTACTTGTCTAAATGATATAGATGAGTCTATGAAGCCAGGTTGAATTACATGGCATGTTCTACTTGGCTGATCTGGAAAAGCTAGATAGGTTAATAGTTTGAAAGAAGAGGAGACCATTAAGTTTCATAAACAGGAGGGTTAAAATAAAAAGACAGCAGGAAATCAATTTTATACTGATCCCAAGAAAAAAATACGTTGTTCAAGGAGAGCTCAACTTTACCTTTTTATAATTTACATTGTGATTCTCCAATGTTATCAATTAATGAGGGCTGACAGCAATGGCCTAAACTGTGTTCTCCCTATTTAAATCTTCCCAGAAATCCTTGTTCATCCCTTTCTTTCACTACTTTGCTTGAAAGCTTTTGACAACAAGTCCTTCTATACTTTCTATAGCCTGAAAAGTAGCCCTCTTGGTAAGAATCTTATTTATTCAGCCACTTACCTTGAGATGATCTGAATGGACAGAAGTAGTGAAGAGTCAAGTTGGATCTTTCTGATACTCTCTGGCTTTCTGAGCAAAGGTTTTATAGAACCTAAGACAGAGGTGGGGCAACATCAATGACCTGAGTCCTTCAAGGAAATCTTGGTCCTTTTCACTTTTGTGTAAATGAAGGTCAAATAGTAGGAAGTGGCTTGTGAACTCTATCATCAAAATCATTGAAGAAAGGGCACAATGATTTATTTCAGAATGCACACACAGCTAAAACTATTGCTTTGACTTTGTATCCTTGAGAAAGGATGTCAAATGAGACTATCAGTTCTGTGAAAACATGTCTTCATTTTCCTCATTCCATTCATCTTAAAGGCAGAGAGTAGCCTGGTTCAACCCACAAGTTCCCCAGCCTATGGCAAAATTCTGCTTTTTTGCAATGTCAGAATTCTCCAACAGAACAGAGTTGGAGAGGACCATGGAAACATTCTAGTTCAACCTCATGTTCAATCAGGAGACCCTATACCATTTCAGACGAATGGTTGACCAATCTCTTCTTAAAAACCTGCA